AGCAAAGCGTTGCAGACCAAAGCGGCGAAGAAAGCCATGTTCATCTGCTTTGGGCTCATGGTGTTCCAGCAGCTGAGCGGTGTGAACGCCGTAATTTTCTTCATGTCGATGATTTTCGCCAGCGCTGGAGGCTCCATACCAGCTGCGTATGCCACCATAGGTCAGCTATAACTCGCTCAGCCGCAAATAGCCACTCTGTCCATCTGTTTTAGGGGTTGGTGTCGTTCAAGTGATCGCCACCTTCATCTCGTCCCTAATCGTCGATAAATTCGGCAGGAAAATCTTGCTGATTGCTTCCGCGTTCTTTATGGCCTTCTCGGGCACTCTGCTGGGCGTGTTCTTCACGCTTAAGGACCGAAACCTGGTCGACGAACAGACTTTGCAGAACATCGGCTTTCTACCCATCGTCAGCATGGTCATCTTCATCACGGTGTTTTCGCTGGGCTTCGGGCCCATTCCTTGGATGGCTTCTTCGGAAATCATGCCTCCAGGTGCGTGGCACCCACTCTTCCCTTCTTCAAACCCTAATCCCATCTTCATTCCAGAAATCAAGTCTACAGCCAGTTCGGCTGCAGCAACTTTCAACTGGTTCCTGGCCTTCATAGTCACGAGGTTCTACAACAATCTGGCTTCGGCCATTGGAGGTGCGTGTGCCTCACTGATGTTTACCAGTTTTTTGGCATTGTTCGGCTTCTAGGTGATGTAACGTTTTACCTGTTTGCGGCCATCACGCTTGTTGGATGCGCCTTTGTATACTTCGTCATGCCAGAGACCAAGGGGAAGACATCGCAAGAAGTGCAAGACATCTTGAGCGGCGTTAGGCCTGGAAGTGCTGATGGTAAAGGCATCGACAACCCCACTTTCAAGAGCTAGTCAAGAATTGATGCAAACCTCTCGAGCGGTCCTCAGTAGGCAGTTAAGCAGTTTTTTGTCTATCAACACCGATACCGAAAAAACTAACATTTTTATCAGTATGAAGTTTTTAAGTGTATATACGATTGGGAAAAAGCAGAAATAGGATCCCAATGTACTGAATCTAGATTAGGCAATTGTTAATTGTAAGTTTTATATAATGATGTATTTGGAAGTTGAATAGATTTTATGAATTATTTAACGCCGCGGAGAGTAATTGGAAAAACCATGTTCAGTCAGAGATTAGTTGAGAGATCGCCGATCCCGTGTTAAAAAAGTGACGAACTATGACTACGTTGTAGATAAGTTCTATATTGTTGAGGCGGATTCATTTTTTACAAACTTCTTTTTGGGTATTTCGCCTCAAAAGTTTTTGTCTTTAAAAAAGACAGAATTTCCTCACATTCATTTCGAAACCTTGGTCTATAGAAAACCTACTCATACTGACCGATATTTGAATTTCGACTCAAATCACCCAATAATGGTTAAAAAAGGTATCGTAAAAAGTCTATATGATAGAGCAAAAATAATTTGTAATCAATCTAATGTTTCCAAAGGAAAACAATTTATAAGAGAAATTCTAAATTTCAATAATTATCCAAATTCTTTTATTGAAAAATCTTTTAACGAAATAGAATTCCCACGAACAAAACAAAACCAAAATAAACCTATTACGAACCTTTTCATTCCATTTATTCCGGGACTTTCAGATCAAATTAAACGAGTAGGTAAAAAATTTAATATTAGGACTAT